CAAGAGATCCAATGGGCCTGCATCGCTCACCTGGTATTAATCTCACACTTTTAACCTTAAAAGTGGACTTAAATAAACCTACAGGAAAAATAACAGTATTTATGATTATAAGTCATTCAAAAGAACCTGTTAAGGATTTTAACACATTTGACCCCTGCGACCTTGAAAATTGCCCTTCATCTCAGCATGCAACTTGATAAAGATCACCACCGTAGACCTTTTGTTTATTGAGATAAGGTCATTTTAAGGTTTATACACATTTGACCAAATGTGACCTTGAATATAGGTCAATTTCATTTATTTGAACAAAGTTGGAAGCCCTTTATCACAGCATGATACTGGCCAAATATCATCAGCCTGGGCCTTTTGGTTAACAGAAGAAATTGTTTGAAAGATTTTTAAGATATTTTACACGTGACGTTGAATATAGGTGAAGTTAATTCATTTGAACAAACTTGAAAGCGCTTCATCCAAGCATGCTTCTGTCCGAATATCATTATCCTGGGCCTCTTTGTTATTCAGAAGAAGTTGTTTTAAAGTAAAAAGGCGCCTGACAACGCCCCACGTAATAAGTTCACTTGGCCATATGGGCAAGGTGAGCTAATAATTCTATGTGGTAATAAAACCCCTTCTTTGCACACAAAATGCAAATGTTGTACTATCATCCATTTTCAGGTTACAGTGAAGACCATTGGAGTATATAAGCTACGCCTACCTATACACCAAGTTTGAGCTTTGTATGACAATTAGTTTTAGTCATCATTCAGAGTTCTCTATTTAGCAATGGTGACCTTGACCTCTGGCGGCCCGCCCCTTAAATCAATAGGCTAACTTGCAATCGCTATGGTTGCTTTTGCTTATTGTGGATGAAACTGGTCAGACAGAGCAGAAATATTTCCAAATTGAAGAACACTCTTGGACCTAAACTGTGATGAAGTAATAGGCAGAGCTAAGATGCACAATATCGGAATTTTGTAACAAGCATATGACAATATATCAAGAAGTAGATGTTCTTCTTTTTCACGCATATGTGCTTTCGCCTTTTTTTTTGCAGAAATAATGTAAATTTGCAATAATCAGCATTTTAGTTTAGGCCTGGCCCCCTCAACATTCACATAACGATTTTTCCAGAGGTCAGCCTTAGGTCAGATATGATCCTGTTGTTTTTAGCTCACCTGGTCCGAAGGACCATGGTGAGCTTATGCCATGCCATCCTTGTGGGGCGGGGCCCAATAGGGAAATATAGCAAATTCTTTAAAATCCTTCTTCTTCTGTAGGAATGAAATGATTTGTTACATATTTGGTAAGAAGCATCCTTGGGTGAAGGGGAACTAATTTTGTATAAACCGTGGGTCTGGCCCCCCAGGGGCCTGAGGGGCGGGGCCCAATAGGGGAATCATAGCAAATTATTCTTCAAAATCCTTCTTCTGTAGGAATGAAAAAATTGGTTCATATTTGGTTTGGAGCATCCTTGGGTAAAGGGGAACCAATTTTGTGTAAACGATGGGTCTGGCCCCCTGGGGGCTGAGAGGCGGGGACCAATAGGTGAAATATAGCAAATTCTTTAAAATCCTTCTTCTTCTGTAGGAATGCAAGTATTTGTTCCATATTTGGTCTGAAGCATCCTTGGTTCTCTGCATGGAAAGAAAGATCATCAGGGGCTTTATTTAAATTGTAAATTTCAGGACCTCCAAACTATCCATTCTCCCTTGGGTAAACTTAAAGGGTAAAGTTTACTATAGTTTATATAAGGAAATAACACTTTTGGGTATATTTTTACAATTTTCTGTAGGAAATTATTTTTACTTTGTGAGAATCATCCTTGGTAGATGAGGCTACACAATTGTAAAATTGAGATTCCTACCCCAACCCCTGGGGCCAGGGCGGGGCCCCAAAGGGAATATTAACCAATATAACTCAACAATCTACTTCTCCAGACTAAGATGTACTACAGTCATTTTCTCTGCATGGAAATAAAGATCATCAGGGGCTTTATTTAAATTGTAAATTTCAGGACCCCCAAACTATCCGTTCTCCCTTGGGGAGGGGGTTAAGTTTACTATAGTTTATATAGGGAAATAACTTTTGGGTATATTTTGACAATTTTCTGTAGGAAATTATTTTTACTTTGTGAAAATTATCTTTGGAGGGGGATGGGTTCAAATTGTAAAATTGAGATTCCTATCCCAACCCCTGGGGCCAGGGTGGGGCCCCAAAGGGAAACTTAACCAATATTTAACAAGAGGCCCATGGGCCTTAACGGTCACCTGATATATTTATACAGAGAGTTGATTTCGTTTTTTAACATGAACAGAAATATTATTCAAAGTGACAAAAAACAATAAAACCACCTTATTCAATATCAAGCATACAGATTTCAGACTAAAAAGGATTTGAAACTAGCACCTCTGATTCTAAACAAGGAAAATGAAGAAATTTTAGCACACTGACTCCCTTGAGCCCCACCCTACAGCCCTTGGGGGTAGGGCTGGCTCAAAATTTTCAAAGTATCAAACTGTCAACTCAAGGTTATAATTCCAATCAAGTTATTAACATGTAATATTCAA